GACGAGGTGGAGGAGGAGAAGGACGAGATGGAGGAGGAGGAGGACGAGATGGAGGAGGAGGAGGACGAGATGGAGGAGGAGGAGGACGAGATGGAGGAGGAGGATTAAAAGGAGGAAAAGAAGGGGAGGGAACAGAAGGAGTAGGAGGGGAAGAAGGAGATGGAGGACGAGGAAAAGAAGGGGAGGAGGAGGATGGGTCATGTGTCGTCCTTAGCGAGATGACACAGTCGAGTTCTCTTGCAAACGGCGCAGTTTGAGCTCAACTGAGGCTATTGCGTCCGTTGACTTTTTGTACAATGCATGTAGGCAGATAACATTTTCATCGCCAAAATTTCACCAAAAATTGTAATAATAATAATAATAATAATAATAATAATAATAATAATAATAATAATAATAATTCTCCTTAATATCATTATCATGATCATCATCATTGTCGTCGTCATGATCATCATCTTAATCATAATAAAAAGAATGATGATATGAACAACAGCCCTAAGGACAATAACCAAAAGAAATAACCATCACAAGATATGACGACTCTAAAAATAATAAGAGCAATAATAATAATAATAGTGCCACCACCCCAACGCCCATAGAAAACGGGACACCCTCCTGACAACATTCACATTTTCCGCCAACCCTGCACTAAAACGAGATCTGTTCCGATAAGCAACCAGGGCTTTAAAATAACGCTTGTTATCGCCGCTTCATTTCACATACAGCTGCCGTTCGCGCACGTTTCCCTTAATAGAACACAATGGAAAATACTCCTACGCGTGTTCAACCGGCATAATGGAGAGCCGTCCACTGTTTTCGAACGATTTGAAATTATTCTTTTTTTTTCTACGGGCGAAAATAATCTCTATTACGGATGTACCTGTGTCCGGATAAGAGACAAGTGCACAGGGACGAATCTAAGTGGAACGGAGGTTAGTGGATATCCACATCTGAACGGTGGGTGGATACAGCGTGGGCAATCAAGAGGAAGGTGGAGGCTGCACTGTAGGTGGAACGATGGCCAGTGGAGGCCCAGGTGGAATCTTCTAACCAGGGGTGGATGTGGGGGATTAAGGGCAAAGTGGAGGCTGGTGGATGTCTGGTAGATAGGCCTATATCCGTAGATTGATATGTGGATACGGTTAGACGATCGCCAAAGAAAAAAATATCTTAGGAGACATAAACGCACGCAAGTTTTAAGAGAGAGAGAGAGAGAGAGAGAGAGAGAGAGAGAGAGAGAGAGAGAGAGAGAGAGAGAGAGAGAGAGAGAGAGAGAGAGAGAGAGAGAGAGAGAATGAAATGATAAATGAATAAACAATTGAATAAAAAACCGCACATGGCAACAAGCAAGACTTCCAAGTTCAGCATCTGTCGACGAGGAGTGGGTGGGGGTGGGGATGGGGGGAGGGGGAAGAAGGAGGAGGAGGAGGAGGGGATCTTCAAGCTCCCAGTTTTACGGAGATTATGCACACCGCTGTCTTGATCCCATTTCTCACCTGCTTGCATTGTTCACGACGCACGCCAACAATGCCTCGACCTCCCCCCACCTCTCCCCCTACTCCTACTACTCCCCCCCTTCCCTTCCCCCTCCTTGGCGACCTTGACTTCTCCTGATCTTTCTGCTGTTTTCGTCAGTTAATAAAATAAAAAAAAACTACAAACAACCAACTGTCACTCATACTACAACGAAATACCTGTCACTCACATACCTACCCGTCACTAAAAAAATAAATATATAAATAAATAAATAAATAAATCAGATCCAGCCCTTGGGATATATCGAAATCAACAAATACGAAATCTACAACATCCATGCTTCTAAACGCTTCTAAAATCACCGATTATTCCCCCATGTGAAATACCCGCCCGCGTGTGACACCACGCCGACGCGCGCGCCACGGAATATACACAACGGTTCTATCAAGTATCCCGTTTCTATCTATCAATTATCCATCTATCTCTCCCTCCCGTTTCCCTCCTACGCCCATTCCTCCAGCACTGACGCCCACTTCCATTCAACCCATCACCTCATCTATCAATAGCAGAGTATAATTGGAGCGCCGCCCGTTGTGTAAAAATCCCCAGTCGTAATCCCTGCCACAGAAGACATGGCGTCACCGCATCCGGCACTCCGCTCTCCTTGCCTAGCCTAATCTCCCAAAGCGCAGGACAGGATGCTTGCTGCGATTACATAAAATTAGAAAAAAAGAGAAATGAGAGAAAAGAGAAGATAAATACCCGACGGGGGGAAAAAACACAACACTGGCACCTCGACTACACCTGTGCCTCGTGCCTATGTGGAGACAACACAGAGCTTAAATCCCCTGGGGGCGAGATGCAACGGGAGTGGGGGGGGGGATGGTTAGGGAGGGGAGGGCAGTGCGGGGAAGACGAGGAGGGGATGGTTAGGGAGGGGAGGGCAGTGCGGGGAAGACGAGGAGGGGATGGTTAGGGAGGGGAGGGCAGTGAGGGGAAGACGAGGAGGGGCGTGGGGTAGGGA